GTTTGCGGACATAGCCATTTATACGTTCGTTATATACGGAAAGGCGAGACCAATTTGTACACAAGTACATACATATATATGTATATATGTAAATTAACATACAAATACATGTATAAGCCAGTGCGCATGATTGAATTGACTGACGCGTTTTGTTTGCTTGCACGAATTTAATTTGAATTGATTTGATTTTGTGATGAAGCCGAGCCATGTTGTGCCTAAATGACACGACGACAAACGAGAGCGGTTTCATATGACGAGTGCCACTAATCACATGGAAGTTACGACGGTGTCCTCAAAAAGCTGACAGGTGATTGCTTTAGGAAATTACCATTTTACCGATAATTGAGAATGTTTACGTGGAATAGTGTAACTATTAGGTCGATATATTTCTACTACAGCTGCCTTCACATTCCTCGAATGAACTTCAACTTTCATTAACTGTGGTATAATAATAAGTATTATACTCATCCTATACCGCTCTGATATAAAGCTAAGTTAGATTAAAGGGAACTATTGTTCCAAAACTGAAAAAAATTGACGTATACAAAGTGCGTTCAAAAATTGGCGGCATTTATTCGGAAAATGTTTTGATTATAGAAAACTTATCTATACTTGCCCCCATTTCCCACGTTGTATACTAAAGCCTGAATCTCTGAAGTTATATGTATGTATATAAATGATCAGGATGCCAAACGGATTTTTGACTGTCTGTCCATCCGTTTGTCCGTGCAAGCTGTAGCTTGATTAAAATTTGAGATATTGTAGTGAAACTCGGTGCATGTGATCGTTGCCAAAAAAGAATGATAAAACTTGAGAACATTGCCTATGAGATGTGCCACCTTTGATAAGTCCAAACGAACTATAACTATTCATGCCCACAGTTACAGGAAATATGGACCCCAAGGTCTAAGGCTGACTTTTTGCCGAAAATATCAGACAATGTGTGAGATATATAATTGAAATTAGGAGAGAATTCATCATACTAGTATGTCTATATGTAAAAATGTGTTGATCGGGTCAATATCTCCCTTAGCCGCTATTCATCTAATAGAAATAATTTTTAAACTTCCAGCTGACTTTATACTCCACATATCGGCCAATATGTGAATTGTCTTAATTAAATTTAGTGGAAATATCTTTCGCCTAACAAAGCATAGTGGATGGTATGTGATCTGTTTCTGTTAATAACTACAAATCCCAAAAATACATAAAATCGAGCAAATACTACACCGTTCTTCTATCTACCTATTAAGGTGTTATATGGGTTTACGGGTTTCAAATAGTCGAGTTTTCATTGTCTTATTAAATTCTACAACAAATCTAGAATATTGTTGTGAATATTTAATTTTTTATATAAGAAAAAAATTTGTTAAAAAAGGCTATTTTTATCCGAGGAAACCCATGTAACCCTTAAACGATTTTCAACCCTACGATTGGCCTTAGACCGCATATGGTATATGGTCAATGTCATCAATTGCGATCTTCTGATTGATGTTTTGAATGGGAGTGTTTTAATATAAAGCCAACGCATGAAGGTTCCCGGCTCCGTTTACAGCCGAACTTGGCCCCCCCTTACTTGTTTAGTCTGCTTTTTTGAAAGTAGAAGTTTTATTACAGTACTGCTCTTTGAATTCTGTCTCGTGTTGCATTTAGAGATATTTGAAACAAAAAAAATCTTTTAGCTTTTTTAGACTGAGGAGTTGTTGCTTCTCAAGAAGGAGAACAATAGTGTCACGGTATTCGCCGTCTTTGGCGACAAGCTATCTACGTTCCCAGTTTCTTCACAATTGTTACACCACCATTCATAAATGACTCATATTCTAATAATTTGCAATCCATGTGGGACCTTTTGTATGTATAAACACATTTGCTACACTGAACACTTATTTATCTTATTCTGCGGCAGGACGTGATATATATAGTATTTGGAAAAACGAAAAAAACTGTCCGAATTGTGCGCGTCAGTGATCGCAGTGATCGCAATTGAGCATGTCTTACAAGTAATTTGCACAAAAAAAAAAAAAAAAAACCCAGTCTATAGTTAGAATAATCTCAATGGGAAATCCAGATAAAACAAGCTTCAAGTAAACTTAACGTCTGGTCAATCAAGTATGAGGAGTAGTACCATAACTGCCTGAAGAGCCCACGTAGATATTTCCTTCTCATGGATTAAAATGATGGGTTCACATAAATATAACTCTGAGTTTGTCAAATCCGCTAAGCTTTTACCTAGAGTATTCATTAGCTTCTCATATTTTCGAACTCCCCTCGACTTACTAATTTGCATTACCAGATCCTAGGATTAAGATACCGTCTTTTGAATAGTCGCGAGAGCCCTCTTGTGTGGGCTGTATCGCAAAGAGCCACTGATCATTTTGTTTCTAATAAAAATAAATCTCGACGCCCTACTGATACCATAACATACAGTCAAATATAAAAACAGGTATTGCATTTCATCGTTCTTGTCGTGACGAAGGAAATATAAATATCCTCAAAATTCTCATATCGGCAATAACAAGTAATATGGGATGAAAGAGATTTCTTTAAATAGACCTTCTGGAGTGCATTTTGCATTTTGCAGTAATTATTATCAGTTCTCCAACCTTACTTCTTTTTTGAGGACCCAATTTTTAAGAAAGTATGGTCGCTTCAGTTTACACTGATCAATCGATTAATTTTATCTTGCTCCACCTTTCAGCACATCGGCAGATAAACACGTTTCGTTTACAGCGATTTATCGCTTGCCCTCAATGCCCTTAGTCGTTAGAAGCTCACAGACTGAGCCAGGCAGTTTGAGGAATACAAAATCTGGTCATGAGCAATTACCTGAGCCACCCACAAAAATCGCGCAAACGAGCAGCAATTGAGAAAAACATAACCTCAAACTGTTAACATATGTTGTACAAGCTATGCTCCGTTGCAAATTGGGCGCTCACGCTACGGTAACTACAGCAAAAGCAACACTGTGGTAGCGCTCTCGGTGGCAGTAGCAATAGTGGCAAGCGAATTTGCAATACATTTGACGAAGGAAATATAAATATCCTCAAAATTCTCATATCGGCTTCAAAAAATCGTAACAAAATATGAGAAACTCTGAAACAATTACTGGCCACCCTAATACGAATAGGTATTATATTTTTAAACATACAGAAATACGTACGAAATGGTAGGAAGTTTTGAATTTGAAATCGGGCGACACACGACACTCAAGCAAAGCTCCAACAACATGACATCAATTACAGTAACATATTTTGCTATACAAACGTTCCTATGCTCTTATGTTTCTGGGCATATGTGCCGCACACCAATGCGTACAAACGAAAGTGCAATTGCAACGGCATTTGCATTCGTGTTTGTGCTCGTATTTGTTAGCTTTCGATTGCAATATGCAAATCTAGAGTATTGTGTGTCAACAATTGGCCTTTGCCAGCATTTCGAAATGCAATTAATTTGAGCATAAGCCAACAGCGCAGTGTCACCGACGGCCGCCCTTCTTTCCCCCACTCACTCCCTCCCTCTGTAGCTCATTTGGCCGTCAATCAATTTCGGGCAAGAGCTTTGCTGGGTTGTGTGAAGGTCTACAGTTTTAATTGTCAATCATCTGTCGGTGCCGTTGTTCGAGGGCTTGAACGAGTCGACCTATCACTCAATCTAGTTATTTGTTGTTTATGCTTAGATGAATTCGATGACATTAGTCAAATGCAATTTTTTGAATATTTAGGAAATATCGCTTATTGCATTCATTTGTATACGCTTTTGAGCTTATTTGTAATTTTGTATGAAGATGTATGTGGATGTAAATAGCTATAACACATAGTTCAATAATTAGTAGTGACATCTTGAACCTACTGCATAGAATTGAGTCCTGTTGTAGGTGATTTTGTTGTTGTATAGGCAGAAATGTTCTGGTTCCGCATGCTTTTACATAGTGCTGCCTCGGGTGAGACTCTCGTTTTGATAACGACCACTGCAAAAAAGGCACCACAAAATAGTTAAAACTTAGCGAACTGCAAAGGAACTATCCACTTCCACGAGATCTACGTAATCGGAACTAATCCGGTTCCTTAACACGAAATCCATCATCCAGCAAACCAGCTGATTATAGTTTTCCGCTTTGATTTTAGTGTGGAGGAACATTCAGTCTTAGGCCGACTATGAAAAGCATTTAGAATTTTTTTTTAATTAAAGGCTATGGTTTGCGAGTATGCACTTAGAATATCCGAACACTCATTCAGATATTCATCTCTGCCTAGCTGGACTTCTTTCCTCGCAGATATCTGTGTTCGTAAGGAGTCTTCATTGCCTCTTAAAAAGATCTTGGTTGTGTCGAAGGATGGAGTAATTTAGAACCTGTTGACATGTGTAATATCGATCATAGTATTTTAGTTTGATATATTATATGTAAGTAATCCCATCAACATGAAGACAAAATCGTGATTACAAAACTAGAGTAAACCCGCATGGAATTCTCTTTCTCGCCTCCTAGAAAATTTTCTACTCGCTAATCGACCACGCGCGATCACGAAACGTAGTTGCATTCGACGCCATGTATCAAGATAAGAAAATACAAGAAGTTACAGTGCTACTTTCGGACCTAAACAGAAATCGGTATATATAACGCATTATATACGCCTTTTGTCGGAGGATGTAAAATAGGAATAGAAATATCTATCAAAAGGTACGGCGACTCAACAAAGGTTAAAGAGGTTATATCCACTTGGAGGTTAGAAAAAACTGCTGTTTTGTGAACCACATATTCACAGAATTTAAGGTACTTTATTAAAGGGTGAATCAAAAAATAAACCGTAAAAGTGAGTTTTGGAGAATGACAAGATTTGGAAAGCAACCTTAGTTACAAAGGGGCTCTGAAAAACACTTACCATTGGTACCACGTATGTTTATTCCGAATAGATGCAATTGAAAGAAGTCATGGAAAAACTGCTTGCCACAACCGCCAAGATTTGCTACAAACAAAACAGCGCTGGTCCAGACTGATTCACTCACATGAAGTCTTTACTGGTTGGCAACTTGCGCTGATCGGCCTTATGTCGATCTTCGATGTTGACTTTTCGCAGCTGATTCCTGTCAACATGAAAGAAGCAAAAACAATTCCTAGTGGAGAAGGTAATTAAGGCGCCTCCCTTGAACGCCACTGCGCATTGAGCAAACACAAATGGTCGCTTAAAATAATATTTTCATTAACAAATGTTGCTGTCAATGGCTCCGTAGAAACGCACACACGACACTCAATCGGAAATGAGTTGCCAGCGGCAAAAAATAGAAATAATTTTCAAAACGCTGATCAATGGTTGTTGCTCATGTTTGGCTATGCACATGCTATATGTACACAAACCCTCATATATCAATGTGCACAACGACGGACGAACAAGTATTGAATATTTGAGCAGCAATTTAGATGTTATCTCTACATATGACCATTAAATGTTCATATTTCTTTCATTTACAGGAAATTAGTGCTGCGCAATCAATGTGGAACGCATAAAACACCATACTTGTAAGCAATCCAAATGAGTGGACGCGGCTGTTTGTCTCATTAGCCTTGCCTCTCTCCTTGTTAACCACATGTTTCTGTACTTCGAAGACCCATCACAGAAATTACAAGAAGTCATAAAACATAATTTTACCTTTAACACATACATACATATGTACTTTTTATGACACTCGGGCGCAATTTGCATTTCCCCCATAGCCACTGCAAGCAATGGAAATCGTTCGAACAAATCGCCTCACCGCGGCAATCGTGCATTGGTTTTTTAGTCCAAGTGATACGCATAAAACGATTTTAGAAAGAATTCTGTGATTTCATTAAAGAAACTTGTGTACATTTTATAGGATTTTAATTTTTTATTGACCAATGCTTAAATGCTTGGCATGTCGGTGAGGCATAATTGACCTATTGCCAATGCCTCCAATTTATGTATGAACATACTCGTACATATCTCCGCTCATATCGGGTCTGCCAAATGATTTTGACGAAGGCAATGCTTTTAATGTGCGTTCCTGAATACGTGGGTCTGAGTTGGACTGCAGTCATTGGGGAGCAGGGCGGCAAGCGTTTACCAATTTTATTGTTCGGTTTTATTGCAACAACGTATGTTCTCTAATTGCTGACTTTCCGGCAAGTGATCTAAAAGATGTGCGTTTCGCATAAAGCAATTATGAAGATATATTTATATACGCATGTACATCATCACATACATATATATTTACATCTTACTATTGAAATATAGTTTTTGTAAAAGGATTACAGTCGATAATAAAATAATAATATATATAATATAAAAATATAAATAATAAATAAACTCGCAGCATTTGTCTACACAAAATAGGGAAAAAGTATTGTGTTTTCCACAAAGTTTGGAAAACCCAAAATGATATTTCGGAAAGATTATAAAAAATATGTGTATATAAATGATCAGTGGTATGAGCTGAGTCCATTTCGCCATGACTGTATGTATGTACATATATACTGAAACTAGTCCTCAATTTTTGAGATATCGATGTGAGATTTTGCACGCGGCACTTTATCTCTAATAAGCTATTCATTTGCCAAAGCCGCTGATATCCAACCACTAGAGAATATATATAGCTGTCCTATAAACTTCTTCCTACACGGTTATAGCCGAATTTCCGATAGCGCGCCCGTCGTTCTTTCTTTTCGCTGTTTGGCGCCTATTGGGATTCCATGTGTAGTCAGGTCCTTCTGCACCAGATCTTTCTAACGGAGTGGAGGTCTTCCTCTGCTTTTCTCGGCTCATCGTACAGCTCATCATTCCATCGACTGCGGAATTCGCCGTTGCAAATGCGCAAAAAACTATAATTCTTTCGAAAAAAAATTTTCTCGAACACTCTTAAGGCCGACTCATCAGAATTGTCATCATCCATGCTTCTGCACCATATATCAGGACGCGGATGATGTGTGACTTGAAGAATTTGGTTTTTGTTCGTAGAGAGAGGACTTTACTTCGCAATTACTTAACAGAACAAACAGCGCAGTTTTTATGGCCAATGATTTGTACACTCTAGATTATACTTTCTCTATTCAGATCTGCAGCTGAAATTATTTTCTCCAGGTGTAGACTGAAGAAGACGGTAGGGAGTCCCTTGTCTGAAACCTCGTTTGATATCGAACGGCTTGGAGAGGTCCTTCTCGATCCTTACCGAGATTTTGGTATTGCTTAACGTTAGTTTACTCAGTCTTATTAGTTTTGCGGGAATAACAAATTCTAATATAGTGACTTTATTCAGCTTCTTCTCATGCGGTCAAAACCAGCTTTGAAATCGATGGATCACGAGTTTTTTTTCCAAGATTTGGTGCATGGTGAATATTTGATCAGCAGTTGATTTTGCAAACTTAAAGCCAATCAGTTTGTTGACAGTGGGCTTTGATCCATGATAGTTGCCGGGTTTGTGGGGTTTTCTGGGCTACATTTAAATTCCAATTGCCGCCATGCTCTTGTCTGACAATATTCTACAAAGACGCTGATCCTTATCAGCTCTTCACCACCGTATTCGAACAGTTTTTTGTTTTTCCTCAGACGACGAATTGCTATTCGAACTTCTTCATGGCCAAACAATCGAATGTCTGCTCTATCGTCATCGATTGAAGAATCGGGTTCACAATAAAAATCTTCATAAAAGGTCTTATTTTATGCTTTGCAAAATTTAAAATCGCACCCTTTAGAAACCTTCAAAGGACCATGTACTTTTATTCAATTGCAATTAAGTAGGCAATCTCGGAATAAATGATACCCTATTACCAAACACGGCGCGAAATATTGATTGGACGTTAACAATAGGTTAGCCAAGTCTATGACCAGAAAATATGCTCCGTAGTGCGTTTACAAAAACAGCGTCATACTATACCTATATCTTTTTAACATATGACAGATCATTCCTTCAGTACCGAAAAGATACTCATACATAATCTCAATGTCTGCGTCATACAATGTTGAATGAACAAAATTTGTAATATTTTCCTACCTTGCTCATTCCACAAATATGTGGGACTAACGCTTGTTTAGCCAACACTCTCAAAATAACATATGGTTTTTGTAGTTCTGTTAACCCTTCGTTGTATAGCATTGCATATATGCAATGTTCACTTCTCGTTGATCTGGCAGATACATCGTTTCTTAATTTACAGTTATTTTTTCGCCAAATGAAAATTTTACCTTATCGCTTTTCTTCTTTGGTACAGTTTCGAAAATATTTTTGAGTTTTTGTGAATATACGTAGTAAAGAGTAAACCTCTTTCTGGTATATTGAAAATACAGTGCTAAATTTTCATTATTTTTGTGAATTATTGAGAATGTATGATAAAAGGTAAGTATTTCCAATTAATTTGGAGAGTTTCTTACCCTAATAACAAATTCGGTGTTCACACGAATTATATTTGCAAGAGTTATAATGTATTATTGCACATGTGCAATACCATGCATTTAAGCCTACATTTTTACTTGTAGGGCTCGAATAATAGAAAAGTGGGATGAAAGCAAAGATGAGTATTTAGATGATGGTGATGAAGCAAATTTTGAATCACTACGAAGAAAGAAGAAGCAATCAATACATAATTTTAAAGAAGTTAATGTTATATAGACGCAGGATAATCAGATGATCTCATGAAAATTTATGCACTTGTCAAAAAGAGCCAAAATGAATAATATAGACAAGCAAGATTTGAAAATATATATGTATAGATATGTACTGTGATGTCTATTGTTCAAATTCTAAATATTCGAAGATATTGGACGCCAGCAGTAGGCATGAAATGAATACAAGACACTATGTCACTGAATAAATTTGAAAAAAATATATGTTGTATGTTTTGGCAGGTATATCTGGGTAAAATTACTACTTCGAAATATATACTGCCCCAAAACAACAGCATCAATAGACTTCCTAAGGAAATTGATTTCGAATCAATTCCCTACATATATAAGCGATATTCCCCCATAAAAGAACTAAAAGGTTGTTTTTTGTTTTTTTGTTTTTTTTTTGTTTTGTTTTAATTACTACACATCTTTCGGCACCTATGTAAACGTGGAATTTACTCATTCGGAACAGGTCGTCGTATCCGAATTCCCAATTTAAAGCTTCTAGACGAGAAATTACGATGAAGAAAGCAAACGAAAAATCCCTTAAATATGCAAACGTGGACAACTTTCATATACATATCTGTAGTTTATTGAAGAGATAACACAATTGTTACCTTTAAACTCCAGATCCAGCAGTTTAACGGTATGATGCGATATTTGGACGGAAAGTAAGTGTCGCTTGCCCAAATGTTCTATCAAAGTATAACAAGTTTATGAAGGGTGTTGATTTGATAAATTCCTTCATAGGCCGATACAACATCGAAATACGCTCTAAGAAGTGGTATTTGCGACATATAAGTAGATTCTTTATACTTTATTTCTATAGAAAGCACCAGAGAAGTGGCCTTATCACTAAAAATGAAGTACGGTTGAACCAAATGGATCACTGGCCAACATGGGTGGACACTCGAGTCTCTTGAAAATTACAAGTTGTGACGGATATACATACATACATATGTACAAATGTTAGGTGCAATTTTCAAATTTGTCATCTTATAATAGCCCACATTAAAAATTTGATTAAAAAAATTTTTATTCTCACGGAAATTAAATCATGCAACGAAGGGTTAAACAAAATAGAGTAATTATAGCCGCCACTCTATGTCACTACCGTGATGGATCTGATAACATGATTTGTATAATTTGCATATAAACTATTGAGTTTTTTCTCATTTGAATGACAGCTGATCAATGAGCGATGTATTTGTGGCGCTTTTCATTGGCATGATATTTATGCCACCACTTTTGGATTTCTTCGACTTAGTACTATATACTCCAAATCATTATAAAAGACCTTCTATTTCCAACTTCCTAAACGAGAGTATTTCAAAGAACCATTGTATGGGAGGGATACTTATGAAAATTTACAATGTGATTGAACTATTTCTGAAGTGGATATTATAATGTTTCAATACAAATATGAGATCCTTTGGCAATGAATTGGTCTAATCCAGCTTCTAATAAAAATCAAAACACCTAAGCTGTGCGTCTTGTTCCGTTCGGTTTTAAGAAATTAAAATAAAAGTATTTGGATCGCGTGTTCCTTTACAATTACTGACAATTATGCCGCCACAGGATTAGTTAACAAAAGAACACAAGAGTCTACAAAGAGCAGTAATCGGAAATCGGTAATACCAGCAGCAGGGATATTGCTTACTCCACCACAATAACCATGACATTCGATTTGAGTAAATATGTAAGTATGTATAAATGCAAGTATATATAAATATGCTTTGACATACCCACATTCATCTGCTTCGTCTGCGGGCAGATAAATGTACATAGGTACTGCGAAACTAGTGAACGATCGTGTCAATTCCAAAGAAGCCGCTCCCTTTCGGAGGAGCCACTTGTCACAAACAAACACACACACGGAGAAGCCCTTTCCTTAGATTGTCAGTTATAGCGTGACATTGCGATTGCACTCGTGAGGCAGTTGTTTTCAAACTTGCTTGAACCGTTGAGCAAATTGAAGCACGTGAAGACTTAAGCACTACAGTTTGGCGCTCCCTGAAGTTTTTTTACGCTGCTTTATCTTTTTTTTTTGTTTCGACAACTTTTATAAATCTTTGCCCGACCACAGCTTTTTATTGTTTTGTCTTTTTTTGTGGTTTGTTTATCGCGCTTATTGCTTTTATCCTCTTGAAACATGTTGCTTCAGAGCATAATGGGTTTGTTCACCTAACCGTTGCACTTATCACCTAAAACTATGCGTGATAGATATGGGGTTATGTATATATATATAAATTATCAGGTTTGAGACCTGGGTAACTCTCTGTCCGCCCTTGAGTAAAGATCGAGATTTCTTGATGAAACTTGGTTCTTCGAATTCGTTAATGGACGTAATCGGTCCACAAAACGCCATTAGCCGAAATACTATAAAGTGCCATAACTAAGCACTAAATTCAGATATAAAACGTATATTTGGTACAGGGGATCGCAGTAGCCAAGGGCACCTTTGGGAAACAACTTTTAGGTGAAATCGCACATCTCGAAGCCCGCCTGACCGATTTCAACAAAATCTGGTTCGTGACATTCCTATGTAATAGTGCGAAAATGTGCGAAAGCGAACTACAGCCACATCTACTTTCCATACAACACATTTTTAAATTATATTTAAAACTTTAACTTTTTAGCATACAAATCAAGAATGGATTTATATATTTACCGAAAATATTGTTGAATGTGTGAGATATACAAGGTGCTTTCCCAAGTAAAAAGGACTTTTTGAATCTAGCGTCCCCTGGTACGTTAGAATCTGCTATTTTTATCGATTGTCCAGGGAGAATTTCATGACCTTTCATCGATTGGAAGTGAAGTTATTGCCTTTTAATTTTCAGTATGTTTGTGTTATTGGTTTTATCGAAGGTCATTCGAACAAAGAATCAACATTAAATTAAGCTCAATTAAAAATTGGTAAAACTTTTACCTAAACGTTTCAATTGATGAAATAAGTTTATGACGATGTTTGCCTATCCCGTAGTAGAGTGTACGAGTGGTTTCAACGTTTTCAAAGTGGTCGTGAGGACATAAATGAAGATCAACATGTGGGCCATCGATAATTCCATAGAAGCAGTGCGTGAATTCATCAAAACTCAGTCGAAATCATAATTGAAATTCATGGAAATGAAATTGAACATCTCCAAAACATCGATTTATCGCATTTCGACCGAATATGTGGGCTTACGAAAGGTGTGTACACGGTTTGTTCCGCATAAATTGACTGACGACCACAAATCATCATTCGAAAGAAAATTATTTGACAAAAAATCACATTTAGCTTTTACCCACTCCCTCCCCGCATTCACCTGATGTGACACCGGACTTCTTCCTTTTCGGAAAAATGCATTTTCCCATGAAAGGAAACCGATATACAGATATAAGGGTCATTCAAAAGGCTTACACCGGCATCCTGGCGGCCATACCGGACAACGAGCTAAAACACTCGTTCGACATGCTTTTGGACCTGCAAAAAGCTGTACTGAATTATCTTTTTTGAATAAAATAAATTCATTTTGCCGAAAAAACCAGTTGTTCTGTTTTTTTGTTAAAGTTCTGTTTACTTTGGAACCCACCTTGTATAATTGAAATTCAGAGAGAATCTCGTCCTGATAGCAGTGAGTTTGTGTCGAGTCAATACTTCCTTTAACTCCCATGTGCCTTATATATCGCACCTCCGAGTGACTTTATATCGCAAATATATAAGTTATCTATATGAAAATGGGAGAGCGCGATTTCTTATAACGGTGCATTTTTGTGCTTAGAATAAATAAAACAAGTTGAAAACTCGCCATAAGCCCCATATAACTAACAAGCCTTATGTACCTAATGTAAGGGTACTTCTCTGGCTTTAATCCATGTAAGTGGCAAGAGTATAAAATATTCGGTTTTACCCGAACTTGGCTTTTTCTTACTTGTTCTTCAATGCGATCGCTTTGCTGAGCTTAACCTGCAGCGTAATTCAGGATCCTCTGTTATTATACCGGCGCATTCATTTTTATTGTTGCCGTCGTGGTTCTTTGTACTGCAGGCAGTCTGTATGAATTTCTTGTACTAAAGATGTGCAGAAAAACTCAAGATAGGAATTAAAGCCTTTCAGCGGGATATACGGGATTAACAATATTGCAGTTTGCTCCTTTACAGTAAGAAAATTGTTTTTTGAAAGAAATTAAAGCTTCCAAATCTTCGGACTTCGAGGTTTAGGCATGGATGATCGGAACTTTACAGAAAAATTGATCGATGCATCAAATAAGATAATGTACCTTATAACGAACAAATCGGTTTAATATGATATACTAAAGTTGTTCTAGATAAATCATTTACTATATTTGCTATTGGTAAATTTATAGAACTAAAAGCTTTTTTTAAATTCCTAGGTACAGAGCGAAAATGTACGTCTGGAAGACCATCAAAAATTTGATAAAATGTTTATTTTACATTACAAGTTCGACGGGTACTCTTTACTTAAAGAAAATGTTAATTAATTAAATTGTTAGACTAATCTATAGTACTGGATGTTTATCCATCTTACAGAAAGTTATAAAAGATGAGAACCGTCATCATGTTCGTAACACTTCGTCAATACTACTCTTTTTTTTACCATACTGATGTCTATTGGACAATTTCTACAACTAGGACAAGATGAACCATAGATGATCTATAGAAGTCTTAGCAGGAATTCGCTCGATCGAAGCAATAATAAGCCTCGGCTTATTTATAGATAGTTAAATTACACCCGGTTAGCTCAAAGAGCAAAAATTGTTGTTCCACGAACGAAATGAACAAGTCTCGTTGCTTATGCGACAAAAGTTCATCTAAAGTTTCGAAAAATCAACTGATGTTCGCCAAATTTTTAACAAATTGTAAAATTTGACGGCCTGAAAAATATAAGACGAGTAAGGAGCGTTGGGTCTACCTTACACTTCTTTTAAATATTTACTAGCATTTCTATCACATTTATGTTACACTCATGTGAAATCGCAGCAAAAAGGTTTGTCGTCGTGCAGCACATTTTGGTACCATCGAGTCTGTTAGGCTTTGCGTCTGCCCTTTTGCATTGCTTACCGCTTACCTCACCTCCACACCATGGCCGTTGAGTGCATTGTCTTTGTTTTGAACTTCTGCAATTCCGCCCTGTTTTGCAGCTGCCAAATCGCGTATTTTGTTTTTGTTGTCGTATGTTTTTGCCAATTCCTGTTTTTTATTGCAGTTTTCTTCGTTATTATTGTCGATGTTTATGCTCATTTCATTTTTGTTTGTTGCTTTTGTTTTTTTTTATTGTTTTGCTGGCTCCGTGCAGCTTGAAGAATTGAGGAGGCTGGCTAACTTCGGCTTCTGCCCAAACTGCTTTTAAGAAGCCTTTGAAGTTTTTACCAAAGCTGCTAGGAAGCAATTTCGATTTCTCTGAACCCATAATTGCCCGTATGCGTGCACCTTGTTCATTCAAGCATCGCACGGCCCTTCGCTTCTCTTTCCTTGCCCTGTTTTCTTCTACTGTACACCCATTTATGCGAATGCGACCGTCTGTCCGGTCCACTGTATGTTTAGCCACGTACGTGTTGCTTGTGGAGATAGATATGTTTTACCTTCAAGTTTTCGGATTTCGCCCCTGATAGCATGCTTGAACTGTCCAGGAATCGCCGTTTTACAGCCGGAAAGCGGCTAGTCTCTGCGGATTTTTTTGTTTCCCTTTTTCGGATTTTTTATTTGATCAAACGAAAAAAAAAAAAAAAACAATAATATCAGCAAGACAGCGATCATGCTGCTAATGGAACTGGAAGTTGTGCGTGCAAAAACAAAATTATATTGTGTACAAAGGCTTAGATAGTTTTGTCTATAATTATCTACATACGTCCATATTGTTTGTAAAAATATGAATTTCTATGCGTTTGCTTTAAGGTTGTTCAAAAGGGACACCCTCTTTTTCACACACATGGGCTACTCATTTTTTATGGGACGTACGTTGGCCGGTCCCAACATTTTTTGATGTTTATTAAGGACAATCTATTAACCGGACAGAAAGGCTAGTTCCGCCAGTATCCGCCAGTATCCGCCAGTATCCGCTTATGAAAGCTTCCACTGTATAAAAATATGAACTTCACAAAGCCTACTTATAAAAAACATGAATTTTTTCGTGTTTTAGACTGAACTTTAATCAATTATACATTTTCCATTTTTTTGAGGATCTTTCGCTACCTTTCCTTTAAATTCATTATTACACGCTCATAGAAATTGTGGACTTTAGCTGCAAAAAACTGAAGCAAGTGGGATTTTAAAAAGTTCCCAGCCAAGTTCCCTCAGTTTTGGCGACTGACCAAAGATGCGTGCGGTCTTTACGATTGACCAATTCTGGTCGCTTCTCCTTGATAGCTGTATTCAATTTGTCCAGTTGCTTACAGTAGACATCCGAATTAATCGCTTGGTTCCTTTTAAGCAGCTTAAAATATACCACACCCTTTCGATTGACGTTATTGTAAAGAATCCATTTTTAATCTCCAGTTATGATTTTCTTCAAAAACGGATAATTTTCATTGCGTTTAAGATGCATATCACAAACGTTTAAGCGATTTGTTAAATTAATTTCTTTCAATTCATGTGGTACCCAAATATCAAGTTTTTTTACCATCCCAAGACGTCGTATATGATCATGTATGGTTGATTGTGGTATATTTAACTTCTCTCCAATCTCACGCTCAGTTACATGATGATCTGATTTGATTAAAGCCTTGATGACGTCATCATCAACTGCACTTGGCCGACCTGAACGTGGCTTGTCTTTGAGTGGAAAATCTCCCAAACGGAATTTGACAAACCAACTTTGACGTGTTTCTTTCAAGGCTTTGTCACCATACATATCACGCAACCTTTTAGCAACCTGAGCTGCATTTTTTCCTTTACGTAAATAATAAAGTAAAATATGACGAAAATGCTCCTTCGTGGGCTCCATATCAAAATTGCCGCCAAAAAAACAAATATAAACAAAATTACGCGCGCTTTTTTTCTAAGGCAAGGTAAAAGTACCAGCTGATATTTGACAAAAGCAAAAATGCAATAACAGAGTCATAAGCCGCTCAAAAAATTGGCAATGCCGTTTGTATGCAAAATCACCGGTTTCTTTTCTACTAGCAACCATGGCGGTTTCAGTGAAAAATTGATTGTTTTCACGACTCGTTACATGTGCTTCGAGACTTTGAATACAATAAGTATTCAACCCAAAGTTTAAGGTCTTTATTCATGTGATTTAAGTTAAGGCATTTTATTGATTTGTAACGATAAAACATGAGAAAACAGTGTTCCAACTTACCATATATGTATATATGTATATATCGATCCAAATTTTCAATTGAAACAACGAATTTTGTGTACTATTTATTTGGGTATAAACGAAATTATAGATTGATAGGATTTCTGGCATTTTTTAGGAAAATACCATATATTTCACTTATTGTACTAAGTGGTACTAGAGTAGAGTTCTTTGGACTTTCTCGGTCTCGGACGGTATATTGAGACACACTCGTATTAGAATAAATTAAAGTAAAAATTTTAAACCAAAGAGTGTTGTACTTTTTTTCTCTTGTCCTCCTATAAAATATTTCGCCGCTGAATTATGACCGCTATATACTACTAAAACAATCACCCTTTGCGGGCGTGTTTTCCAATCCTCGAAACAATTGTCAAAGTTAGTTTCCTGAATAATATTAAATGCGCGTACCGATTCACTTTTAATGCCTTCAAATAGTATTCCTTATATATATCAATGCCTTGATTTTCGGCATTTTTTAACGTCGATTTTTCGGCTTTGGTGCTTGCCTTGCCGCGATATTCGGCCGATTGATCGTCTGTTCCGGGTCGCAAACATAGATTCAAGACTCATCGCCAGTAATAATACATTTAATTATAATAATACATTTAATGTAATGCTATGCTTTTTTTCGAAAAAAAAAAAAAAAATTGAGTGGTTCTCTAACCAATCGTGCTTTTACTTTTCTTAGTCCAAATGATCTTTCAAAGTGGTTTTCACTGATCCTTCCAGTTTTCCAACGTTGGCAGTAAAGTCTCTGACTGTTAATTGTCGATTCCCAGGCACAAATTCCTTTATTTTATTGTGTTGATCATGAGTTGATGTTGATGGTCGTCGTGGACGTATGTAGTTCGTCGTCATCGTTCTTTGAAAAATTTATACCAATTAAAAACCCTTGCTCGCGACAAACAATTATCACCAAAAGTGTTTTCCAATATTCTGAATGTTTTGGCACTACAAGTTTGATTCCGCACACGAAATTAAATGGAATTTTTATTGTACAATTTCACTATCATAAAAACCGCCGAGTTCACTCTATGTACTTCAGAAAGATGTCACTGACAGTCATACCAACATAAAAAAAAATATTTTGACGGATGGTTCACTGAAGTGAGTACGAGTATCTGGCTAGTCTTTTTATCAAGAGTCGCTTAAGTAAACTGATAAATTTTATGATCGCTGGTTTTTCGATTGACATCTAACAAAAGTTTGTCTTTGATTTGCCTTAACCTTGGCCTGATGGGGGCTATTTTTTGGCTATGCTCTAACTAATACTTTAGAGTTTTGTACAGTTTATTAGCATATTAACGATGGTTTTGTATATATCTTTTTTAAATTCTTCCATATTGTCTTTACATTTTATGTCATCCTCGTACTAACCAATCGAAAAGAGATTACCTCAATATTTCGTCAGACCGTCAGACATTCCAAACCGCCCTTGTATGTTTTAACAGATAAAATTTTAAATATTTCTTGAATAAAATCTTTCCATCTTAGTTTTCGAAATTGTGTAGCCTTTTGCCAGATAAAAAATGTGACTCCATATTTTTTAGTGCAAACCTCTTTTATATTATATACATATATACACTTATACGTTGCGGACTTTTCGCAATAATTAAAATATGTCAGTAAATTTTCAACAGCTGGCAGTAAATCCAAATCTAAATATGTCGAATCAATCTCAATATACCACTCATCCAAAGAATATAATATACAATATAAATGTACATGTAGTCGTGTATATAAAAATATTTCAATTAAACAGAGGCTGGAAGACCGCACATTTATAGCGGCCATCTATTGTAAACAAATCAGAAAATATAATAACTTAGACATTCGTAGATTTTTCCAAAATAAAAACTCTTTTATACACATCGCTTATTTTCATGAATAATGTCATAACTCAAAAAACACGATTTTTAAGTTGAAATTGCTTCACTAAACAGTCCACAGAAGGTCTACTGTTATTTCACGTATTATGTAGTATTATTTTTGAATCACAACAACGACCCATCTCAGTTGTGCTAGGGTGAGATTAGTTATTTTTCAGAAAGAACGAGATATTTATTCATTTATAAATGTGAAAAAAAAATAATACAATTATTTTATTTACACGAAAAAAAGGAGCACTGGCTGCCAGGACCTTCGGCTCGCTGGTGAATAGAACGAGATATATTGTGGTAAAAGAGTATTTACATATTTTATGGTGCTAAATTTCTTATTTTGTTTTAAGAAATTATTATGGGTATTCAGACCGAACTTGATAATCTGGTACTTCGTTAGTTGATACTTCGTTAAAACACTTAACTGTGAACATATTTTTTGCTGTAAATTAGTAGTGGGTGTAAATTTTGTTTCAAAACAGCGTATATTAAATCCTTACTTATGAAAAATTTGTCAGAAACTAATTTGTAGTAGACAGCAAATGCATTTGTTTGCAATGAATTGAGTTAACTTTTGAGGCAACAACGCAAACAAAACAGCTGAGTGATGTTACCAAGTTACGAAAAACCTATCATGCTTGCCAGTCTGGTACTTCGTTACTCGGTAAAACGATACTCTGTTAATTTTACAAAAACAAACACCACGTAAAAAAGTACCGAGTAACAACTAATGAATTAACAAAGCTGGTCTGAATACCCCTATACTTAATAAAATTATATTTTTTTATGTTTTTTTTTTCTCAGCAATAACGACTTATTTATGAGGAAATTGCTTTATATTTTGCACAATTAATGTCGTATTTCAAAGCGGAAAATATTTATGCCAAAACAATACACTCAATTTAGTCCAAAATATGAAGTTTATTGAATCAACGTATGGTGCTTTTTCTAAATTTGATAAGTAAGAGACAATTGTAAACTTTAAAACGTTTTCCTTAAAAATCGACTTTTTGAGTTATGACACTACTTGTGTAAATACGATAGATAAATTCATTTCATACGGATAAATACAATTGAATATACATACATATGTATTTTCTTTTGCTCTTCATAACAATAACAAACCATCAAAACAAGTTTTCCCTTGCCTTACGCAATTTCGAAAACGATGTTCTCTTAACACAATGCCGAAGCGCTTAAGAGAGTGGCGCAACTCCCTTTGTGCATTTCTTGCTGCTAAGGAAACTGTGTGGTAATATATATAGTATATGTATATCTCAGAGCACATTGAAGATTAAAACCAGGCGTGCTCTCTGAGAGCGAAGTTATGTTCGAATTTTCGATATAAACAAAACGTAAATGCTAGAAACTCGTACAAAGGGCTGAAGGCGCTTAATAATACAGGCGAAATGTACACTGCCAAAAATAAAGGGAATAACACAAAATATATAGAAGAATTATATACAAACAAATATATGTTGATCGTGATTTTATTGTACTGTTACACTGATCTTAAATGAAAAAAAAAACAGAGTCAGGCGCTGAACGTTATTTGCCATAATTTGCGATATATATAAATATATAAACTCTTTCACAGACAATCTGAATAATGAAGAAAGGCGCACTTGGCGCGTTATCTTTACGCTGTCGAAAAATTCAACGTGCTAAATTTTATGCCATTCGTTAAATGCTCAATGAGCTTTAATCTAAAGTAAAGGCTATTAGGATGGTTCGATTAGAAGCACCGTAACCTAAGGTGAAGTTTTTTCAACAAAGGGTATTCAATATTACTTCATACTTCCCGCATTCAGTCGGATTTCGCTCCGTGTACTCACAATTGCTACACTTGGCCGAGCAGCGCGCGTACGTTTTACTTTTGCCGCCTTGCGCTTTGGTGTGCCGCCAGCCAACTTGCTAGCTAGCTAGGCTGCTCCCCAGCCACCACCAACAAGCGCTTTTGTATACCATGCCGATTGCCGCCTTTTGGAGTCAACAACAACGACAACAAAAATCATAACAACAATGACTTGCTATGACCAGAGAACGTCGACGCGCACGTCGGCTACAGCCACGACGGCAACAACCATGCCAGTGTAGTAGCAGCGCTGACGAAAAACGAATACATCACAGGCAGCAGCCGACAAGCGTGGCGTAGAGTAGAAGAGGTTTGTTGTTTCAAACGTTGCGGCAGTGTGGTGCCCGTTCAGTCAGTGGTCGTACGTTGAGCGTAAAAGTAATGATGTTCGTGAAATAAAACGGATTTTATGCGAAGAAAGGACGGTTAAAGGTTGAAAAATAAACGGAAGTTCCGAGCGAAGGAATTATGAGAAGCAGTGCGAGAGTGTTGGAATAAAGGAATTCAATTAGCAATTTTAATGAAAATTGTTTTGGAATTGATATTGATGAGATTTCGGAGATCGATAGTGAAAAATTAAGAAAAGATAAAATTAAACAGCACACTTCAGCTGTATGTAAATAACATGCCAAAGTGTCGCGATTTCTCAAATTCAAATTAAAAATACTCGAAGAAGAATGCCAAAGTGCTCGAGCGTTGGCCGGATGTAGTTTCCATAACCAATGAATTTCCTGTGTCGAACCAATTGAGTGCTTTGTTGTGTGGTAGTGCGTGGTGCATACTTTTGTCGCCGAAAAATTAAGACGAGTGCATGCGACAAAAAATTGCAAACCAACAACAATCAATGTTTAAAAATAGATATTGGTTTTAAATAAGATATAAAGTGAGTAAGTGCAGCGGTAGTATTTAATACATTTTTCAGGTTGAATGTGGTCTTAAAGTTAATGTTTTCTTAAAGCTCCTACTTTACTAAAAGTAAACATTTGATTTTTGTCGCCGCGAGTGGACCCATAAATACCCCCATACGTGAACACAAGTCTGCCGACCCGCGTCGCAGAGAAAGTGCGAAATGTTGTGCGAGCGAAAATATTTACTTACACTGAAAATGTCAGCTGAATGTTGTCCAAACCAGTAAAGGCGGCTATAAAGCGGCAAGGAAGTGCGCCCGTCAGTACAGTGACATAGTAAACAGAGTGGATGTGGTGGAAAAGCGACGACTGCCTACCATACGCCGAAAAACCTGCCAATCAAAGCGACACAACAAATGCAAAAATATATAACGATTTACCACTTAGGAAAATGACGCGCTGAGCCACTGGCGACTATCGGCGCTCATTTTACCTGCCAAAACGATAAGGATAATAAACGGCAGCCGCGGTGAAGTGCAATGTACAGTGAATGCTAAAATTACGCGCGTGTCGCAATTCAGAAAAAATTAAAAAAAAAAAAGTGTGAGTAGCAAAATGAAAACAGTGTTCTCATAAAAATAAAAAAGCATACAAATAAGAATCCAGCAAATTATTTGTCTCCAGCAAGCTCCGCTGGCATTACTGCTGATTACAAAAAGAAGTTTCGTTGCCACAAATATGAAATAAGCAAATACCCGGCAATAAAACAAAAACAAAACCCGAAGCAAAGGTAGTTTAGCAATTCAACCGTCAAGAGCAAACAGCCAAGCCAGCAAAATCACAAACCATCAATGTGTAATATCCACCTATGCGCGCATTGTCGGCACTCGGCTGCTACTGATTGTTTGCGGTTGCATTTACTTGTCGTAAATCACGCAAACCAATTGTCGTAGACATTGCGCCAGACTGCACAAAAAGCGAAAAAGCGTGGCGAGCGAAACAGTGAATCACAGCAAACGGCAAAACAGAAGTTATCGACTTGGAGCGGCCGTCAATAAAAAACGTTGACAAGCCGCGTGCAACGTTGCGGCGTGGAATTAAATATAAAACAAACAACAAGCAGAATATTCAACAGCGTAAAAAGCGCGTACTTTGCATTTATTTTGGCGTTCGTCAGCAACATGGCGGGCAATATCGTCAAATGGTGGAAGCATAAAATACTCGGCGGCTATAAACAATTCTCAGGTAAATTTCCGATTTTCCTTTAATACACGTTCATACTTACATACATATGGATTTATTTGTTTATGTGCATCTATGAGCGCCAATCGGTGGAAGATGCGTTACATGAAAGTTATGGCGACGTAAGGAACAGACTTCAAACTCTGTGGATAATACAAATTTACCCAATGAATAGCGAAAATTAAATATTGCACTGCGGTCAGAGCACCGGGTGCCTGAAATATACATACATACATACATATAGATAATTATATTTAGGTCTACATCTAATATAAATAATTTTTACGTGCAATTGTTGAAATTTTCATTTTAATGTTGTTGTTGTTGCAGCGACAGAAAAAATTCCTGAAATAATTTCGAGGCATGGTGCCAAGGTGACAGTGCTTGGCCGGATAAAAATCTGTGCCTTTTCCGATTCCTTCGGCCCGACTGTCGTGGGAACAGAACGGAAAGGAAATTTAACTAGTTTTTGTTAAAAAGGAGACTACTAACTTTTCTTAAAGTATCTGTCTATATTATTTTTCACGCAATGTGTATATACAAATAACAGGAAAATCGACTTTGAACCGAAATGTGAGGCTTTATGAAATCTCAAATATCTTGAAAGGTAGGCAGTGAAAAATTATTTGTGGTTCTCATTAAAATCATACCAATAACTCTTGAGCGTGAAGAAGCGTTGCTGTTTAGTTAACCGAAGTTAGTTCCCACAACTCAAGTTTGCATATAAAATATACATCGCTTGAAAATCATTAGAGATATAACTGCCTACAGGGACTAATATCCCTCTAAACTGACTTGTGTACTTCGTTAAAAAAACTTGACAGAGACGGAACAAGTTTTTTGCTATACTCGGCTATGAAACAGACCAAAGTAAAATGGTGCTGGCAGATAATAAATCAACCGCGTTTTTAAATGACAACAAATTTGTCTATTGCAGAGATAAAGTGATGCCCAACTCTCCTGCCATTGGAAATGAGAGAACAACTCACCTAAAATATACACGTTCTTAAGGACAGAGTTATTTTGACAGCTGCACGACTACACGACTGCAGGCCGACAGTTGTCGTTCTCGCTAACTTCAATATATTCTTATATTTGCCAACGACGGTAGGACGGCAGTAGAGTTGACTGTAGAGAGATGAGGAAGAGTGGTGATGCCACTAATATGTAAAATGTAAAATTACTGAAAGTTTTACAAACAAAAGCATAAAATAGCTGTATTATATCATTTGCAATAACAACTGATAATTTTAAAAATATATTTACATATTTACTTATTATTTGCATAAAAAATTTCACTTTGAACAAAATATTAAAATTTCATTGAAGTGCAAGGTATTAGTATGGCCACAACGAAATTTTGTACATGTAAAATGGAGAGCTGTGTTGTCTTGTGCACAGACCGGCCATTGATATGTCGCTGCCTTCTTACGAATGTTCATGTAGTAGGGTTCATAACGCCATTTTCAGGTTACTGTCGTGCTGCTGCAGTCTGTCTCGAGGATTGTGTTCAGCATATGACAGTTAACTGGATCGGGTATGTTTGACGTTTCACAATTGGAACGACTGCAATGAAATCACTAAATAAAGGTGCAAAAAAAGAAAATTAAAGAAAACACAAACAAGAAATTTAAATGTATTTGATGAAAGGTTTTGTCGTGGGATGCATCATCGTATTAATTTTCATTTGAAAATGATTAAAATCATTAATTAATTGAGATATAGCACGTTTGAATCACTTTCTGAAATATTGAATGGTCAAACGTCAGTTATTTTAATATACCAGTAAATCATAAAAATATCATAATATAATATAAACCTAGTGTTTGGTCTGACCTGGCTACATTGCGAAAATAAAAATATATAAATATAAAAACGCAAATTTTGAGGGGCTCTCACACTGGAATAAGTTGGGCATCCCTTTATCCCTGGTCGATTGTGATAATTCCGTAGAGCTTAGTGCTCACACTGCATTACTTGTAGGAGAAAATAATTTAGACATTAAAATATTCAATTTGATTCAATTCAGGGGGATTTTTGAAATGGTATGTTAAGACAAAATACAGAACACAGTTGATGGAAGCAGCATTTATTAACCTTAGCACCGTGAGTTGAGCACTCAGTGCCCATTCTCATTTTTGATATTGAATTCCTGGGGTTTGGGCTGTCCAATTTGACTTATTCTCAGCGTTGCGATAAACTATAGTTTTAGTTATAAGTTGGTGAAATGTTAAGTACATAGCTCTTATAGTAAGAAAGTTACGGCGTTTTATATGGTGTGTACTCTATACGTTACTTGGGGCACTCAGTGCCCATAATATTTCTTCATATATTTTGTAAGAAGAAGAGTAAGTTTCTAACGGGTTTGTTGATTAATATGCATTTCTAATTAGTTTCGCGTACAACTTTCAAGTGAATAGTTCATTTTTAGTTTTGACAAATATATATTTTTTGAAATGAGTAAAGAATTGGAGACTTATTCGGCCAACGTACAGCGTGAATTGACGGAAGAAGATGAGGAGAATATTTAAAATTATTTGAATGCTGTAGATAGCGATGATGATGATGGTGGAAGAGATCCTAAATTTGGTGGTGACTACGAATCGATACGATACTCAATAACCATTAGAGATCCACTATTCGAATAATATATCCGCGAGGAGGCTGTTGTAGAACTGGATCCTGACGAAAACAAATTTAATTTGTCAAATATGGTTATTGAGGGTAATTGTGGAGAAAAATATTGTGGTTTGGAAAGGAAACAATCAAACCGTAGGATGGTGAAAGCCAAAGTGAAAAATGACGTTCGGAACTAGCATTGGTAATGCGTAGACAATCAACATCACACTTCATGTAAAGTTTTGGATCTAAAAGCGGAGCGTCTATTGTTGAAGGTATTGCTCTTGAGACGAATAGGAAAGCTAAAAGAATAATACAGGCAAATGTGCATTAAACAGTTCCAAAAACAATAGATATTGTTAAGACACAACTGTCAAAACTATTTAACTCCTTTGAAGCAGTTAACAAACCACAACTCATTCATGCTTATAATGATCATAAAGGTGGTGTTGATACTTTTGACAAAATACTACGTGGATTTTCTGGCAAAATAAAAACAAACTGCTGGCCCATGGCATTACTTTATAATATCTTGGTTATTGCTGGACTTGCGCTGATGGTGTTTGATCTTAGCCACCCTATGTGGAACACCAATAAGTCTGAAAAGCGCAGAATATTTTTGAACGAACTCTCTATGAAGATAGCGCATAATCAATTACAAAACCGATGAGAAACAAAAATTAATTCCACAACTTAAATTACAATGGACTTGATAGATTTCAAACGGGTTCCTGTTGTGGCGAGATCACGTCCAGCAATAAGCTTTCACAATTAATTTAATTTCAAAACTAGTTCATTTTCAAATGTTTTTCACCATTTTCTTTTCTTGCCACATATCAACATTTTGAAACTGCGATGTGGAACCTGCAAAACTGCTACGAACGATAATAAAACAACAGCAGTTTGTGATCATTGCCTTATTCCTACATGCTCCAAACACTATATAAGGACCTGTGAAAAGTGCTATTCTGCAAAATACAGTGCCAAAGCTGATACGAACTAAGACAATGATAAAGATCGGACAATACTCCTACAACGTCTACACCCAATCAAAGAGACAAAGATGAATTTCAGCGATTTGAGCACTTAATAATTAATTAAAAATTTATTTGATTTTCATATTCTTAAATAAAAATACCTTTGTTTCTAACAATAATCATAAGTTTCATTAAATTATTTGCATAAACAAGCGAAATATTGGCGTTTCCATTTCTTGAAAGCCTAAATTTCCATACAAAATACATTACTGGGCACTGAGTGCCCAAGTCACGAGATTAAGCGGTATAGCTACATACATATGTTACAATTCTAAGGTTAAATAGTACATACATACATTAATATCAGCATATCATATGTATATATAATATTGAATATGGAAAGTATTTTTTAGGCTGGATCGACCTACACATAATCGAAAAATTCGTATGTATGTTGGTTTAAAAACATGAAGAGAAAAGAAGTAGTCTCTTTTATCTGACCCTTGTGTTGATTGGAAGTGGGTTAATGGAGTGTGCAATTCACAGCTGTAATCACAGTGGCTTAAACAAAGTCGCCTAAGCATTAATGACCTCTGTATTATAATCATAAATAATTAAACAATATTATCAAAATATGTAAGACCTCACATATTGATATACTATATATGTATGTAAACATTCAAACCCTGGCATGTTTCTTCGTTCAAAAAAAGATTTCGAAATCTTCATAAATATACTATAAAAAGGAAAATAAAAGAGAAGTAATGACGCCGTGGACCTTATACACTAACAGTGTCTTTCGGTTTGGGTATACGTCGACTAATCGAAACTTGCGACGCGGCTTGATGGAGTATTCACCAAATATTAGAGCATCGACTGCTCATTTGTGTTTGAAAAGGCAAACAGTGTAAAAAGCAGAGGAAAAGCACCGAAAATATCAAGAACAACATAGGTTGTACAAGAAATTAAAGGCAGCGGGTTTTTTCTTTTTTATGCTACCGCTTCCTATGCGGTCGCTACAGGTCACAGCCACACAATTGTATACACGTTTGAACATTTACATATCTAAATCACTTATAGATGGTAGGTACATATATGTTTGTGTGCAAGATCATGATGAGTTTTTTGGTATTTCGGTTTTTGTTGCCTACCATTTCGTATAAATATGCTGTGGTCTATAAAATAAAAATAGATGAAGTGGCGGCAACAAAACAACGAACGACAGCCTAATAAGACAGTGCACCACCGAGCCGCCGGTTCATACATACAAGTATAATATACATACTTACATGCAATGATACTGCAGACAACAACAATCGCCTATCGAGCACATTGGCTCTGCAGGAAGAAGGGAGAACAAAAACAATTTGCCGAGCGGTGCGCTAGTAAGAATGTACGTTGTTGAAA